CCGCATACTGCTGGCGCAGTATATACAATACTAGTCTAAAATGCCGCTACTGTTTGCTGGTACTCGGAGTATTATTATTATCTTTCGTCGTCTCCCCCACGTTTCTCAACATGTGACCGCATGTCGATCGATCGGCCGACCTCGCCTCTCCCGCTATCTTCCATCCCACGCCGATCCCATCATCTGTTTTTCAAAGTCTTTCACTTATTTTTCGTGTTTTGCGCGCCGGTCGGACGGGGACGGGTGGGCGCCGGGTCGCTGTCCTGCAGTCCTGCTCCCCGTCTCCGTGATACCAAGTGGATACGCGTGACACGCCAAGTGCTCTGCTCAACCCCGGCAATCGGAAAGATAAGATCACGCCGCGATTTAAGTACAGTCCACAACATGTACGTACCCGTTTCTCCATCTCCCTCGCCTCGTGATTCATGGGCGGCGAGCACGGCAAAAGGGCGGGGAGCCGGAATAAAGCCCGGCTGGCTGATGCCGACTTGATGCGGGGAGGGCGTGTCTCGTGACTGTCTGATCTCTGATGCAGGGGTGGTACAGCTGTACGGGTTGGCCAAGATTTATTTGCTGGTCTGTTGGTTGATGGCAGCATGCAAATACACGTAGGTGATGTTTATGTTTGTTCAAATCATGAGCCCCGCAAAAAACTATGTAGGTGATGTTTATGTTTGTTGTTTGTTGTTTGTAAATGGAGCGCGTTAGCTATCATCTCACCTCGTGCCGAACCATGTGATAGCGGTGTATAGTTCACCTCAATATAATCTGAAAATGACCGACATAAAAATATCAAAGGGTTCTCATAATACCGGTATAACCACGGAAATCCGAATATAAATGGAGCACAAGCCGGGAAAGAGGGGAGAGAAGGGAGCAAGATGGTAAATCATTTAAAGAAGAAAAAAAAGATGATGCATGTCCCCGACTTATAGCGGGAGTTCAACCGTTGTTGGTGGTTAGCCTCTTTTATTTTCCTGCAAAGACGATAGTGGTTTGCCTGGTCTGCTAGGATGCACGAAGTAAGGCGGCGATAAAGCTTGAGTGATTTGGGCGTGATGCAGATGGATATGCACGGTTGGAATAGCAAACGAACCGCCCCACGCGAGAGCCAATAAAACCCTTGTGATATTGGGGTGGGCCCAATGGGCCAAACCCTTCATAACTTTTATTTTCTAGCTATCGTATCTCACAGAGATGTATAGGAAGATTTATCTAGAAAAAAGTATACGAAGATCATTTTTCCTGTGTTTTAAGATCTAATTAAATACTAGAAAACCAATTATAACCTCGGTCATTAACCAAGATCAAAGCACAGATTAACGATAAGTCTTTTCTCCTTTTTCTCCATGTGGTGAGGAGAAATGCATATATTATGGAAGTTAGATAATTAACGTTTTATGATATTACATTATTTACATTATAAGTTTCCTTTGAAAAGAATGAAGGTGCTTCTATATTATGCTAACACGTTAAGATTGTTTGTATACTCACACATAGTGGTTTGACATGCACATACAAATTAAAATTGTGAATAACTTTAAGTATTAGTCCTTTTATCGATTGTATCCAATGGCTAGAAGATACTAGATGCAAATGTTTTTGGCCGTTTGATCATTGTTGCAGAGCACCATATGACACCCTGTTGTGTTTCTAGATAGTTCTCCTTCTCTTTAAGGTAGAATGAGGCTTGAAACTGTACAAAAAAGTAATTTGTCTAGTTTAACTTACAGATGTAGTAGAAGTGCATTATCAAGTATGCAAATTAGTACCTTTGTTTTGCATTTTGTTTCCACATTTTGCAAACAAAAGACTTTATAACCGATGATACAAACCATCTTATGAACATAGTGTAATTTTCAATATATTTTCATATTAGACGTAGTAAGAGTGTATTAAGGATATAAGAATGATATTTTTCCAACATGTATGAATATTCTTTATTATGATAAATAAATACAAATGTGAAGTTTAATTTCATAAAGTATCTCTTGTATTTTGTTTTAAAACAATCATCATATGTAATATTACATTAGAAATTAATAATATTGTCTTTACTTCGAGTAATAAATATATACTTCACATGTAACCGTTGCTAGTACTAATATTCAACATAATAGAGTTGAACCGTAGGCTGCAGGTCGGCATAATGAAAACCCGACAATTCAGCCAAGACAAAATTGAGGTACTAATTTAGCTAATTTTATTCGAATGTGGCTAAAAGCCTATTAATTTTGTAATTGATCATTGACTTTCTTGTAATTTATATGTTTTGCATGTTGAATATTGGATCACATGGTCCAAACATAAAGGGTGATTTTAATCTCTGGCAAGATCAATAGATGTCAAGTTTTATTATGTTCGATCATCATTCTCATGTATCAGTCAAATCATGAGATTGGTGCAAATTTAACAAATTAATTTTTTATTTCGATGTTAATAAACTAGATGGTTATTTCGTTTTCAATATGCTCTAGATCAACTCTTTGAAATGTACTTTGTACCAAGCAACTTTAGTCGTTTCTCTTTATATAGTATTCACTGTGTTAGTGAAAATATAATAGTATAAAAATCTTGTATGATCAATATATGCGTACAAACTTAATGATATTGTTGCACCTGAATTTTTTGGAAAATACCTATAATTATTCAGGATGAAATTTATATAATTTTAACTGCCCGTTGTGGATAGATATATGTACACAACTTTGTTTATTTTCAGTGCAACAGATGAGTACAACAAAAACTTGAGAAATTCTCAACAACCTTTAATTTAATGGTGCACTACATAACCACAAGGATTAAAATATGAAGTTTTACAAAGACTTTGATATGACACACCTTGTTGAACATTCTCTTTATCATTTCGCGGTACTTTATACTAAAATCTTCGTCTTTCGAACAAGGTTTATTAGCAGATCCATTCTTACCCACTTCTCACACATGACTTTAAGATAGTTTGTATGATAGTTGAAGCATCGTGAGTGTGTGTAATTGTTTGTTACATATGAAAACCTAGCATTAAAAGAATAACTCAGTGAAAATAAACCATTTTCGCTTAAGAGGACAAGAAAACATTTTTTGTATGAATTTAGAAGTTTGTAAATTACAAGATAGGTGGAATACATTACCCAACAAAATTAACCCGCAAAAAAACACACAACATACGAATTTTTTTAATAAAGTTATGAAAGCATAATGTTGTTCAAAGATGAGATTGACAGATACATATTACTCCCTTTGATCCATATTACTTGTCGCTCAAACATGTGTATCTAACACTGAAATGGAACTGAGGGAGTACTAACAAATAGTTTTGAACTATTTGACCCAAAAAATGCTCAACTAACATCTTCAATGAGCGTGCATGTGTCCGGTGATTTCTAATGCGATATTTTTTTTTCTTCGGCATGGATACATCACACTATTCTCACATATCTTGAGGCATTCACATAGCACGCACACTATCGCCAAACTCATTTGACGGACTCAAACAAAGCACACACACTAACAAGAAGGGCCTGTTTGGTTGCCAGTCTTGCCTTGCCACGCCAAAGGTGCGGCACGCCACAACTCCGTAGGCAACTGTTTGTTTGCTGACGAAGGTTTGGCTCGCCACACATGCAAAGAGCTTTTTGCAGTAGAATTTCTCGCCACAAGTGCGGCACTGGTTTTGTTCGCCACAATCCTTGGCGTGCCACAAGTGTGGCCAAACAAGTGTGGCATTTTGAGTAACCAACCAAACAGCCTCGAAGTCTCATCCGATGCTACCAGGTAATCTCTTCCAACGGTATCACACAAGGCTCATACAACATACAACTCATGCACTTTACATTCATACAAGAGCGCATTAATAATAAGACTGACCCTGAGTGCATGAAAATTATGGCATGGTGATAGTATTGTGGATTCGTGCACTTCATGTTCATAAAAGAATGCATGAACAATACAAATAGAACATCCAAAAGGCATGTTGTGAAAGGGCATTTCCCTCCCGAAGTGTATTGGTGTTGATGACAACGTAATTTGCGGACTGACCGTGTTCTTGAGCTACACAGGCATATTCAAATGACACAACCCTCTTGCTCGCCAACATTTATTTTCTTTTTTTTGCGGGGGCACCACCGTTTCATTCGAGGTCATTCCATCGCCTGCTGCGATTTGCGTGAGGAGTGGCTCGACAACATGGCGGTGGATGGGACGAATCGACTATCACATGCTCTCCGTATGACAGACGGGGCCCACTTGTCAGCAAAGCAAACAGACATAAAAAAACATATATATCCATGTTTGCACAGTTTTTTTTCCTTAATTCTGAAGGAGTCGCTATATGTTTGCAAACCGCGCACGCACGAGCGCATCCGTTCGAATGATGCGCCCTCTTCTGGCACCAGCTGGCTGTACAGTTGCCGCTCTTTCTTTATATGTACTCATTTCGTTTCATAATATAAAAGCGTTCTTGACACTAAAATTGGATGGAGTAGTTTTAAATTCATTTGCATCCAGCTGCAAGCTCACTGGTTCACGGAGCCGGATCCCCTGACGTACGGCCCCCTGCCGTTGGGCCGCTGACGGGTGGGTCCGGGCCCACACGTCAGTGTGTGGGCCGTACGTCAGACGAGCCGCGTCCCTGGTTCACGCCCCCCGGGCAAAGGAAACTCGGGTTGCTCAATCTTCACGTGTTCTTCGTGCCCCGCACCACCTCCACCACCACCACGTCTCCTTCACTCGCCTAATTTATTCAGAAAACAAACCAAGAGGGAGGCCAGCCATGGAGGATGCGACTCTGCGTGCGTGCTTCTCCCTCCCTTCCCTTCCGCTGAGACCGCCCACCCCCCTATATAACCGCCCTCCCCTCCCCAAGGTACCTCACATCCCACCCCCCACAGCCATCCGTTCACAGAGTAACCACAGCCACACCGCAACTTCACCTTCACCATCCATCATCGTCAACGAGAAGCAGCAGCACCCGGCCAAGAGACGAGACAACAAGTGTTGCCATGGCAGCGGTGGAGAGCAAGAGCAGGAGGTTCGCGCTGGCGTGCGGCGTCCTCAGCCAGTACGTCAAGGCGGAGCAGAAGATGTCCTCCGTCGCCGTCGCCCCGCGCGCGCCCCCGGCCACCACGCTCAGCCTCATGCCCGGCGCCGACGTCGGCCAGGAGCACGCGGCCGCGGCGGCCGCTGAGGAGGCGGGTCCCGCCACGGCCACGCCGCTCACCATCTTCTACGGCGGCAGGGTGGTCGTCTTCGAGGACTTCCCCGCGGACAAGGCGGCCGAGGTGATGCGCATGGCCGCCGCCGCCGGCGTCGAGCGCGCGGCTGTCGCGCCCGCCCCCGCCCTCCTCCCGGCGGACAAGACGGCGCTCGCGGACCTGCCCATCATGCGCAAGGCGTCGCTGCAGAGGTTCTTCGAGAAGCGCAAGGACCGCCTCGGCGCGCGCGCGCCCTACGCCCGCCCGGCGCCGGCCGCCGCGGCCATCAAGGACTCGGAGGAGAAGTCGGCGTCGGCGTCGGCGTCGTCCTCCTCGTGGCTCGGGCTGGCCAGCACCGACGGCGCCTTCGCCCTCTGATCTGCACGGACGGACGGAGCAAGACGGCTTGCCCGCTTCAAGAGATCGTTTGTAGAGCACTTTTAAATGTATTCTTTGCGTAAAAATTCGAGTAGGGAAAGAAAGAAGGAAGGAAGATTGAGATCATAGTAAGCCCTTTTTGTTTGATTGATTGGTTGACAAATTCTTTTGATCTCTGCGCGGCTCATCATCATGGGTCGCCCAGAGATTGAGTTCATGAACCGAATAATAACTTGAAATAAAGACAAGTACGTAGTACTAGCTTGAAACAACAATTCTTCTTTCTCCGGCGTCACCACTGATACAGTTTGAGTAGTATACTACCATGAACCGAAATGTAAAAAAAAATAAAAAAAATTAAGAAACCAACCCCGAATTGGCAAGCAGCAGTTCATGGCGGAGGGGAAGGGTGGGTGAGAAACGGTCAAAAGGGTTGGAGCCCAACTTGTCAAAAAGGGGATGGGGGTTGTGGTGGGAGACTTGGACGTGCGTACGCGTCATTGCCTTTTTTTTTTAGAATAACGAAATGGAGCACGTTCATGGCGTTCCAGATAAACAACTGCCCGGTTGTCCGTCCGTTGGCCCTTCGCTCTCGGCTCTGGCGCGCCCGGACCACACACACACACGCGGCGACGGCGACGGCGGCGAAGACGACGACGACCCTCGGAAGCCCCGTGGCTTCCTCCACTCCTCCAACGTGGTGGCGCCACCTGTTGGCCTGTGGTTGGTCGCCGGCCTCGTGAAACCGCGTGACATGGGCAATGGAAGAGTGTGGATGGGCGGCATCCATGGATGCTCGTCTCAACGTGCTCCTCTCCCGTGGCTTGCATCTGGGGCTGGAGGTGCTTTTCTCATCGGCGCAGGGCGTGCGTGCCCGGCCGATTCGGTCTGTCCCCCGGGCGTCGCCGCAACGTGCTTGACACGGCGCGTGGGATGGGAACGGGGAGGAAGGAACCGGTTGCTTGTACTTGAATGAAAAGCTCCTTTTTTTCGCCTTTCCGGACGACGATTCCGCCACGTTTTTAGTTCGTTTGCACCACCACGGATCTGAGGGAACCTTTTGTTTTCCTGTCGTGGGTGAGTAAACTAGTGCTGCTGGGTCTGTCTGCCCGCTTTGCTCCCCCCTGAGATCGTGTTCAGGCAGGAAGACAAACGAAAGCTACTACTAATAGCACCGCCGGAAAAAAGGGTCAGAATAGGCCGGCCATGATCGTGCTAGCAGCAGCTTAAAAACGTCAAACTAGTTAGCTAGGCATGCTGGCCTTTCAAAGCACGTTGCCCCGTGCTAATGATGTACAGATCTCGGCGCAAATCTTTGAGGCAGCAAAGCATTCCGGCATGTTTGTGTGCGACACAACAAGTCAAAGACCGACCGCCCCGGGCCTAGCTAGAGAGCTAGCTATAGTACTATAATCTGACAAGATTCTCCCCCTGAAAAGAAAAGAAGCATCGTGCTGGATCACGGTTTCAAAAGGGCTTCCGGGACAGGGAGGGGAGCGTGGTCGGTTCGGTTCGTCCGCGGCGGAAGGAAGGAAGGAAGGAAGCGCGCTCCCAAGTTCCACTTTGTTTCCGCGGAGCACAGGTGCGGACTACGCGTGGCCGCCACCAGAATTCAGCGTCGCCCGGTGCCGTCTGCCTCGTCTCCATTAGACCAAGCAGCGGGAGAATGAAAAGACACCGCACCGATCGAGAGACAAAACCAAGACCTAAACCGCCGGCTGCAACTAGTCCGCGACGCAAAGGTCTCGGAGACAACGTGTGCGCCTTCTGCTCAGGCTGCACGATGGCTGCTTTGGTGAAACTCCTCTGTCCAGGAGAGCAGTAGGAGTGGGGGTAGAAAGATAGCACACCTGTACCAACCGAACTGCCCAGTTGAACTGCAGGTAAAGAGACTATAGGAGGAGCATGTGCGAGGTGCAGTGTGCTTTCCCTTTCGTCCAAGAATCCAACACCCCGTCACCAGAAACAAACTCCATCCACTAGCACGTGTTTTCTTTCGGTTGACACATGTTTCAACCCCCCCTCCACCACTCATGGATTTTTAAAACCCTAGCAATTTACGCCGCGTTCCCCGCAACTGCTCACACGATAGGGAAGTTTCAGCAGGGCCTCTTCCTCTCGTGCGCATCCCGATCAATGGCGCCGTCATCCGTACGGCCGCCGTTTCCGCCCCTGCCAATGTCGTAGCCGCACATCCACGGAGAAGAGTAGCAATTAATGGACGCTGTCACGTTTCACACCCGTTTCCCACCCCCAACGCGACAAATCTCACCTTCATGGAGCGTGCTCATTCCAGGGTATATAACCCCCCTCGCCCTCCTTCGTCGGCGCCACCACATTCATCCTCTTCCTCCATCTCAGTTGCCGCAAACTCACCCCCCATCGCCCCTTCGTTGGCTGTCACCCTCTCCCCCCCATTACAATGTCGGTGTGACCGTACCCTCACCACGAACCTTTCTCTGAAAAGACCGAAATGGACTGCGTAGAGAGAGATTTCTGGGAGAGGGTCTGTGGGAGTTCTCGGAGTGGGTCGAGGACCCTGCACGTCTTAAGGTTGAATCCGCCATTGCCCGTGCCAGCCTCATCGCCGCCCTCGAGTACTTTGAGCACATTTCAATTGCCCCCGTCGAAGAAATGGTCGTCATACTCACGTCTAAATAAGAACGTGCTACGCAACAACAAAATATACACACACGATCATCAGAAGATCATTATGGGCTTACAAGTCACGATCATCTCACCAATGCACGCAAAGGAAGTGGATGAAGGAGAGTTGTTGTAGAGTGACGTTTTCCGCAACTAGGTTGTACCTCCCAGCCACGAGAATTTCTTTTTTTTTGGGGGGAAAGCCACAAGAATTTCTTCGGCAAAATCCGTCGAACTAGGCGATTCCTCCGAGGTATCCAAGTGGACCGATCTATAGCATAACATTTTTATCAGTGAACCGGAACATAGTGCATAGGTATTCTTCACTCCTTAATAGCTTCATGCAACTGATTTTCTCTTTCACTTCGCCGTCTCTTCTTATGAAATGTTTTTATGATGTCAGTTAGCATTAGATTTCCACCAATAACAGGGGTTTTATTATCGATGCTTAAAATCTCTTAATTATTTGGAATCCTAGCAAAAAAAGCTCGAAAAGCAATAAAATACAGAATTTTTATTACTGCAACGCAAAACATAAGCTAAAAAGTGATGCAAAATGCACTCATCAATATGGCCAACCTTCAGTCGCTAATGTGGTTGTAAATAATGCACAATAAGAGGGTTAAATGTAAGATCGTCTACAGTCGAGCGCCCCCTCACCTCCCACTTACACTAAGGCGGACGATCTAGTCATTGATTGTTCAAAAACAGTTGACCCACTTGGGATCCTCAAACCAGTCCCAAACGCTGGACTGACTGACACGCATGTTTCAACTGAAGGAAATATGACCTAGAGGCAATAATAAAGTTGTTATTTATATTTTCTTATACCGTGATAAATGTTTATTATTCATGTTAGAATTATATTAACCGGAAACTTAGTAGATGTGTGAATACATAGACAAACAGAGTGTCCCTAGTATGCCTCTACTTGACTAGCTCGTTAATCAAAGATGGTTATGTTTCCTGACCATAAACATGTGTTGTCATTTGATGAACGGGATCACATCATTAGAGAATGATGTGATGGACAAGACCCATCTGTTAGCTTGGCATAATGATCGTTTAGTTTTATTACTATTACTTTCTTCATGACTTATACATGTTCCTTTGACTATGAGATTATGCAACTCCCGAATACCGGAGGAACACCTTGTGTGCTATCAAACGTCACAACGTAACTGGGTGATTATATAGATGCTCTACAGGTGTCTCCGAAGGTGTTTGTTGGGTTGACATAGATCAAGATTAGGATTTTTCACTCTGTGTATCGGAGATGTATCTTTGGGCCCTCTCGGTAATGCACATCACTATAAGCCTTGCAAGCAATGTGACTAATGAGTTAGTTACATGATGATGCATTACGGAACGAGTAAAGAGACTTGCCGGTAATGAGATTGAACTAGGTATAGTGATACCGACGATCGAATCTCGGGCAAGTAACATACCGATGACAAAGGGAACAACATATGTTGTTATGCGGTTTGACCGATAAAGATCTTCATAGAATATGTAGGAACCAATATGAGCATCCAGGTTCCGCTATTGGTTATTGACCGGAAGTGAGTCTTGGTCATGTATACATAGTTCTCGAACCCGTAGGCTCCGCACGCTTAACGTTCAATGACGATCGGTATTATGAGTTTATGTGTTTTGATGCACCGAAGGTAGTTCGGTGTTGCGGATATGATCACGGATATGACGTGGAGTCTCAAAATGGTCGAGACATAAAGATCGATATATTGGGCGACTATGTTTGGACATCGGAATGGTTCCGGATGAGTTCGGGCATTTACCGCGGTACCGGGAGGTTACCGGAACCCCTCGGGGAGTATATGGGCCTTATTGGGCCTTAGTGGGAGAGAGGAGGAGGCGACCAAGGAGGTACCCTCCCCAAGCCCAATCCGAATTGGGTGGGGGGCCGGCCCCCCTTTCCTTCCTCCCTCTCTCCTCCTTCCTTCC